TATATTTAACACCACACTAGAGATTGCACACAGAAACCAATTTAAACTGATAAATTATTAGTATGTGGAGCAATTTCTCTCTTGTTATTACGTACTCCGTGAAAACATTTTCAATTAGCACTCTGCTAGGAAAATAAAAAAGTTTCTACAGAAATTAATAAAAAATGATGGTCTAAGTTGGTAGGAGTTCGTAAAAAATCGATGGAATACATTCTGATAACTTTGTGCAGGAGGGCAGGCAGCTCAGGTGAATGATCTTTCCACACTTTCGCTAGCGGGGCCGCACGCAAATAACCGAATGTTGGGGTAACTGCAGCATATCGGGATAGGCTTTTCGAAAATTATAAATTCGTCATATTATTCATATTTTATAAAACATCAAAAACAATAGTCCTAGATATTCGTTTACAGGATATCTTTTTTCTCTTTACCGACTGTTTTGATTGTTATTTTTGTTTAATTTTATTAATGTTTGTACAGTGAAACCTATATAACAGAATAGGTATCATGGCCGTGAATCAATTTAACAAATTCGGTGCTGCCATACACAAACTTCTGTGTTAGACAGGATCGAGGTTCTCAGGTTTCGCTATATAATTGTGCAATGTTTTCTTCTTCCTATATCAGGCTTAGATCTTTTGTTGCCCGATCTTATGGCTGTAGTCGTATTTGTGAACTCGACTGCCAGCTATCTGGTCATCTTTTGAAGGGTCTTCCTGGTGGTCTGGAGTCTGTTAGTTTTAAAACTTAGCGCTTTCATGCCAGTTTTCTCTGTGTTCCCCATCATACAATATCCTGTATTTTTAAAAAGACGAAGTTTATGAAAATTTGTAAAAATAACCATAACACTAACGAAATCTTGATAGTAGAGGGCCAGCAGATCGAAAGAGTAAAAAGTACACTTATCTAGGAACACTTATAACAGAAAATGATGTCTACACTGTAAAAATCAAAGTCAGAATCGAAAAAGCACGTTCTAATTTTATGAAAATGAAAAAGGTCCTATGTGGCAAAGATTTAACATTAGCTCTTAAAGTACGAGTAACAAAATGTTACGTATACAGTGTACTATACAATGGAGTGGAATCGTGGACCTTAAATCTAGACACAATGAGACGACTTAACGGCTTTGAAATAGAAGAATTATGAGGGTTTCCTAGGTAGATAGAGTTACGAACAAGAATGTACTGAGAATAATATGTAAAGAGAAGGAAGTTGAACTTACAATTAAAGAAAGAAAGCTGCAGTATCTCGGACATGTGATGCGGGGCGAGAAGTATGGCATCCTGTGACTCATAATGCAAAGAAAGATAGATGGCAGAAGGAGCATCGGAAGAAGACGAATTTCATGGCTTAAAAACCTGACGTGACGTCATTACAATGGAAAAAAATAAGGTACTAGTACAGATTAGAATGCTAAAAAATGCATATTTTCCAAAAAAAATTTCTCATCTCCTTTACGAGATACGAACATGAATTTTTTTAAATATTATTTTATATTTAAGTCAAACAAAAACATTTTTTTGTTTTTAGTTCCCATGAGTAGCCCACTATCTAAAGGTCGCCTCAGTTAATATCTCAAAAAAAGGTGTCCGATGGCGGAGACGAATTCTCAGGATTGGTACATCTTCAACAAAAAATTCCAACGGGATTACTTAAAAAAAGCGCCCTTGCAGGACAATCAACCATTTTTAATCGAAAGTTAAAATCAGAAAACAAAATGGCAGCCATTTGAAGAAAAGTTCGATTTTTTACCAATTTTTGCATATCAAAATTAACTTTTCGAGTTTTTATCTAAAATGTGGTTACTTGTCTTTTAATAGGGCTTTCTCTAAGTAATCCCGTTGGAATTTTTTGTTTCAAATATGCCAATCGTGCGAATTAGTGTCCGCCATCGGACACCATTTTTTGCGACGTTAACTGAGGCGCCCTCTAGAAAACCCTCTAGCGTCTCAACGATTCCTTTTCAATTTTCCCCCATACAAAAAATCTAAGAGTGACAGCACAGGCGATATTGGAGGCCATCGGACGGGTCCGTTAGTACCAATCCGTCTGTTTAGAAGTGTGACATTAAAGTAGTTGATTACAATACCGCTGTTATGTAAGGGTGCGCCATATTGTTGTCATCCGTAACTCCTCTTTCGCGTAAAGGAACATTCTCCAGTTACAAAGATAGCATTTTTCAGAGAATTGAGATATCTCTGACCATTCATATTCTTCTATGACATAAATATTCTTCAAAAAAAATGTGGACCTATTAAACGATCATTAAATAACCCACACCAAACATTAATTCCTCATTCAGTTTGATAGCAAGTTTCCCTTAACCAGTGCGGATTTTCCACTGACCAATAATGGGAGTTATGGCGATTTACATTCCTATTTTTATGGAAATGAGCTTCATCACTCCACAAAATTCTAGTTAAAATATCATGACTGTCTTGCATCGTCACTTGCATTATGGCGATGAATGTTAGTCTTAGATCCAAATCGGTGGGCCGCAATTCATGAACCAAACACAATTTAAATGTATAGTAATGGTGGTTTTTTTAATCCATTTGAACTGTAGTTAAAAACATTCCAGTTTCTGCAGCAACGGACCTTATGGGCACATGTGGATTATTATTAATCGTTATATATGCTAAAACATTCACCAAGTTTTTTTCGGCTTGTATTGGTTTGACATTTAATATTGATTTCTATGTTTACTGTTCGGAAATGAACCTCACCGCATCTTCTCCTCAATCTTATCAAAACTTACATAAGACGGTGTTCTTCTTTGTCCGAACATTTTTCTTTGCTACTTCGTCTATTTTTTACGTTATCAGCACATCTTCCAGAAAGCGCTTTTTGGACTTCCCCCATATTCTTTGTCCCACTCTCTGTCTTCGTCTTTGCTCTTTATGATATGTCCCACCCATTTCAATCTGTTGGGACTTTTCTTTCAAAAGTTTCTTTTTCTTGTGAAGTGTAATTTTATATGAAATCGTTTACATTCCATTTGTCTATTCAGGTGTTCGATATCTTTCAGCTGTTCTTAGAAGCATGCTCTTTTTTGACCTGTGTGTTATGCGTCTTCTCCCTTCGTTTTATTCCGAAACTAATGTCTTGTACATATACTTTGGTCTGAGGATCCGATAATGGTTCCTTTAACTTCACTTGTTCAATCTGTATGTATCTCCTATATGAGTGTTAACAAGAGTTATTGTCAGTCTCCTTATCTGACTCCATGTATACTTATTTTTGTGGTCCTTCCACAATTCGCATCATCTTTATTAGTATTTGTACCGGTGCCATATCTTCTATTACCTATATATCGAGTAGTTATCCTTGGCATCAAATTTTTGCTTGAATTCTATATGCCATGACAACCTCAATCAGTTTAGTGTATTATCTCGAGTTTTTAAACAATGTTTTCTCAATAAATTTTAATATGAACGCTCCTTGGTAGTCCTATTGGGCAGAGAAGAAGAGGAAGATGCAGAGCAAGGTTCCTTGATAACATCGATAAATACTAGAGAATACCTGCTTAGTGGAGAAAGGCGATAGATACGGACAAATGAAGAAACATTCTTGAGGAGGCTAGGACTGACACAGGGTTGTAAAGCCAGTATGATGATGATGCAGTTTTATTATGATCATTCGTTTTTTTATAGATGTACATAGTTGTGTATTCTGTATTCGATAAAATCATTTTCATTATCTGTACTAAAATTGAAAAATACTTTGTCAGTTCCATTGAAAACGTTTGTTATTGAAGCGGTCTTCAAGAGTTACTGGATTGCGTTAAAACGATAGCAGAGAAATGGGTCTAAAATTAATGCTTCTCAGACAAAATTCATGATATTTAGTTGCCAACGTCACGACAATGCTCCCCTAAATATAGATCAATAAAACATTGAGAGAGATACTCGCACAAATATCTGGGATGCTACATTACAGACCAATTAGAAGATCAAATGTTATATTTAGTCAGGGTTGTTACAAGGCACTGAGACCTGGACTCTGAAGGCTGATACGATCAATCGCCTAGAGGCGTTTGAGATGTGGTCGCATAGAACAATGCTCCGAATACCCTGGACAGCTATGCAGACCAACGAAACGGTGTTAAATACAGCAAATGCAGTTCGTGAGTTATTTAAAATTGTTAAAATAACAAAAATTTTATACCTACATGGGTATGTTCTTAGATTTGACCGGTACATAATCCTTCAACTTATCATGAAAGGTAAAATCGAGGGCTATAGAGGAAGCAGATGTCATGGCTCAATAATATTCGCGATTGAACAGGAATACTCAATGCCAAACAACTATTCCTATTAGCTGAAGACCGTTCACAACTCGCCAATGTAATTGCCAACGTTATTGCAACCTAATATGGCAGCGAAAGAAGAAGAAGCTTTCTCAAACGTTCGCTAACTTTTGTAGAATAGACAGTTAAGATGTCGCAATGTCGCTTTTGAAGTTTTCCAGATATATTCCTCCAATTTTTACTAGTTGGAGTATGATTTAAAATAATTACCTTGTTTTTAATAATAAAAGGTTGCAAAGAATAAAGCAAAATTGTAAAAAATAACAACAGTAGATCAGATATTAAACATTGTCTAAATTAATGAGTTTAACTTCATTTTTAAGAGGTCAGCTGGGGTGTTTTCTGGTCTAGTTGGTTTTTTGGTTTTGACTGATTTTATTGCATGAAGAACTCTAGTTTTTAAAATTTTAGGTCCCTTTTGATTTACATTGCTGTTAAAAGGCGCGATTATTAATGGCTACAACTGCATTATCTTACTCTAACTAATAAAGCCACAATTCCAAAATCAATAGTTAAAATATAAACTGATAAGCATTAAAGAAAAATCGATCTTTAATTTTTGTATTTTATCGCTAGTAAAATTTGTGTAAGGAAAAGAGCAGATACTTAGAGTTATGACACCAGAAAGCAATAGTTTATTATGTGGTTCCGTGTATGTATGTGTAAAAATCTTATGCATTGTACTCACCTGTAAACAGGTAACGTTTGCACAGAAGAAAGGCGCAAATTTTCCACCACATCGTTGTCCTTGGCATTCATCACACATTTGGTCATCAAGAACGTACGGTTTTACTTCTACTCTCTTGTCGATATCGCCATGTTGCAGTTGTACAAAACGAGCACTGATTGCTGCTATATAACTTTGTTGATTACTAAAAGCCACTCGGCCAGCGCCTTTGGGATATTTCAACTCGGGATCAGTGTCTATTCCAGCGTAACATACGCCACCATATAGTCTATCCATTATCATTGCTAATTCAACTGAAAATAAAATGTCAGTATTCAATCAGATATGTAAGTAATAAATAACATATAATTAAGCAGGAAATAACGACTGAATGGAAAAATCAAATCCATAATTATATAGCAGAAATAATTAATTATCGTATTGACCGTAGTCTAAATATACACTGAAAACTTGTCCACCTTAATCAACGATATTCCTCAACTACAAAACAAAAAAAAAGTTCTTTAGCTATATAAAGGCTATATCGGTGTTGGTTGGAAACTATGTGGTGGGAGGAAGTTCTAAACTAAGTATCACTTCAGGCAGTACAGACTAAGTGAGGAATTTTTCATCCCCTGAGCTACAACAAAGTCATTAACAATTGGATATGATACAGTGACTCACAGATACACACACACACACACACAAACACAAAATCCACATACACACCTACATCATGCCTAATCGAAAAATGATCAAGACAGTCGTTCAACAAATGAGATATTTGATACAGTCGTTCAACAATTCTCATACCATGAAAATTGTGCTGAGACTACTGCCTTCTCAATCCCGAGATGTAACATCATGGTCCCCAGGAGATAAATTTTACAGGGGAAAAGTGTTGTCTTAGCCATGCCTCATACTGCTGGCGAACTCTGGAGGATTATAGCTTTGGCACAGTATGAGAAAACTGTCGTAACTTATAGAATTTCGTCTCAATTCTTGGAAATTAAATGGAAGCGGGGACAAAAGAAAACATAGATGGCTCAGAAGAGTGACTGTTCTAAATATAGTAAGGCCTCATAGGCCTGCCTTCCCAATTTCGAGATGTAAAACCATCGTACCGAGAAGATCCATTTTACAGGGGGAAACGTGTTGTCTAAGCGATGCCTCAAATATCCTTGGCACAGGATGGGAGCACTGTTATGCCTGACAACATTTCGTCCCAATTCTTGTAAATAAAATGGACGCGGAGATAAAATAGAAAAGAGATGGCTCAGAAGAGGCACTGTTCTGAATATAGTAAAGGGACAAGTAGAGAGACGACCCAGAATCATCACTGCTAGTACTGTGGGAGAATCTGTGACTGTGACAGCAGTAAAGGGGCCCTCAAATGGGAGTACTATAGCCATTGCTGTGGTATCTGATCGTGGATCAGCTCTTCACTAAGTTGCATGATTTTGGTTTTTCACCCAAGCAAGCATGACCAGACTATATCTAGTCTAATATCTAGTCAGCAAACCGACTGTGGTACCTTTCACAAGGAAAATACATAGACGAAAATACAATTTACAGGCTCCAATTATGAATGTCATCACATTAGACTATTCCAATGAAGTAAAATATCTGGGAGTAACCATAGATCAAAAACTCACCTGAAATAGTCATATTAAAAAAATTTTATCCAAAGGCTTGGTGACAAGTTGGACGTGCCGCAAGATATTTGGAAATACTTGGGGCCTAAAACCAAAAATGACCCTCTGGTCATATAAAACGATTATTAGGCCTATGGTCATACACGCCTTACTCGTATGGTGGCAAAAATCACACAAGTCCTAACGCCAAGCTGCAAAAAGTGCAGCTGCTAGCTTGTATGGAATCACAGGGGCAATGTCAAAATGCTCCACTGCACTCTAGAAGTAATGCTAAACCTTCCTCCCTTGCAATTCTGCATAAGGAGGGAGGCAGTACCTACCGCCTTAAAACTGCACAGACCCAAATAATGAAATCTTGAGATGGTCACCTAAAAATCTTGGAAGAAATTCTATTTATGTCTAAGGACAGGCCAAGAGATGCCATACCAGTGAAATGTTACTTCGACCCACCCTTTGAAGTGTCATAAAAAATTACCAAATGGGTGAAGAAGTGGAACCGAAATTGGAAGAAGGTTCACTCATATGGTACACTGATGGATCTAAGATAGATAAAAAGGCACGAGTGGGAGTTACTGGGCCTAATTTCGGGCTATATAAATCTCTTGGGAACGCCTTACCTATCTTATGCTCTACAAGACACTCGTGGGGCAAAAGTCTTTATTTTATCAGACGGTCAAGCTGCCATAAAGGCTCTAAAGTCATTTACTTGTGCGTCAAAGTTAATTTGAGGCTGTAAACAATCCCCCAAAAAGCTGACAGAACGCAACAAAGTAACTTTGATGTGGGTGTCCAGGTCACAAGAGAATTGCAGGAAATGAGAAAGCTAAAAGCCTCGCAAAACACAGGGCTAATACTCCATTCTAGGTTCCAGAACCTTTCTGTAGACTATCGAAAAGCCACGTCAAAGAGGAACTCCAGATCTGAGAACTCAATTAAGTAAGATTACACTGGTCTAACACACAGGATAAAGGTAAGTAAAAAGGCTCGTAATAGTGTCGCCTACTGCAACAAACCGCCTTTCTCGAAATGATTAAAAAACATATCAAAATGGTCATTGGCCTTCTCTCTTGTCACTGCCCTGTGAGATATTAACGAAAAAGGAAACGGCAAAACATATACTATGCAACTGCGTAGTTTTGTTCTGCAAACGACCAAAATTCTTAGGATAGGTCAGTTTTTCACCCTTTGATATAGGAAACAAGTCACCTAGGAAGCTAATCAACTTCATCAGAAGTATTGGCATCCTAGAGTTCAACTAGATTAAGGTATGGACAAAAGATCTCAATAGGTCGAAGTGCGGTGAGGCTGCATGGCCTTAACGACGTCACATAATCTAATCTAATCTAATGGTTATAATACGAACTATACATCCAATGTAATGGAGAATACATTTTATTTGTAAAGTTAAGGCTTTAACGAATTTACTCAGTAAAAACTGTACCATTTTCATAAAAATAAATTAATAGCCATACTATGATAGAGTGAATATATAAGATTTTGAAAAGTCAAAAAATAAACTGAATTATCTTTCAAAAGTGTTAGGATGACTGTTAAGGGTACGTCAAATAGACTACTACTCACAACCAGAATGATTAAAATAGTTAATGACTTACCAGCCTTAAGGGGTCGTGGTACTCCGCCGACGAATACAGTTTTTCGAGGATCTAAGGGCATGGATGCGTCCAAAACAAAGTCTGCATCTGATAATCTCCATGGTCGAATTTGTACAGGTTTGTCTTTGATTGTGGGTGAGGAAACGCACAAATATAACTTGTCTTCGTCAGTTATACATGCATCTATTAAACTTTGTACAGAATTTTCATCCTGGAAAAAATACAGTTTTTTACTTTTTTAATAAAATCCTTTTAATTTAAAAATTTAATATATAACTTAAATCACTGTCACTATATCACAGCAGTATTACTGCTGATAATATCCAAATGGTAGATTTTTGAAGGACTCATCCTATTTGTACTTTACTTAAACTTTATTGAACTCGCGGTTCAGCTTGCCTAAACTTTTATTAAATACTGGTACAAAATTGCCTTATTATATTTTATTATATTTCGTATAATACAACTTAGACTAACTTTCCACAACGGTAAGCGATCTTTATATAGATATTAAATGATATTCGGGATAATTCAGGTAAAAAATCGAAAAATCCAAAGTAGATCATTCTCCTCCATCTAATTTAATCCCACAGAAGGGGTACTAGATTAAAAACGATTAGACCGAGAATTACAAACAAAATCAATTAGAATTAGTAGAGGAGTAGGACAAGGTGATAAAATCTCGTCCAAAAAGTTTACTATTGCATTGAAAAATAAGTCCTAAGAGTTATAAGTCCTCGTACAATAAGGGAATATGTGTCTACAGAAAATATTTAAACCATTTTATGTTGATGAAAGTCTAACATCTAAAAAAACTTCATTAGAACAATTTCGGAAAAGAATAATGCGTGCCAGCAAACCACACTTCTCTCTGTCGCAAGTGTTTTGATCCAAAGACATTCATATGGAAGTAAGGTTTATAAACTTACTTTACTTTATCGTGTTCGGACATGTCATTCATAAAATTTCGGCCCAGTATCGGGCTACGTCGGTTCCATCTTTGTTGGCGAGCCACAAATCTTCAAGGGTACATCGATGAGGACAGTTTCTGCATGTAAGAAAATGTTCCATATTCTGTGTTTCTCCACAGTCACAGTTCACATCATCTTGGTCTATTTTTCCCCATTTTGCCATGTTTGATTTTACTGTAGCGACCCCCGTTCTTATCATATTCATAGTTTTCCACGTTTTAAAGTCTAGGATCTGGCCGGTCCATTGAACCTGGGAAGTGGAAAATACTCAGGCGGTTCATCCTCCACTGTTACAAGGAAGCTTTTCCTAGATTTTAGTCGTTTTCGTGGTGTTCGAGGTTTGTATAGGGCATGCCGCTGGTCCGCGATCCGTTTAATTTTCTCAATGTGTTCTGCAACGCCGCTGCGTGTTGAGAGTTCTGCAAAACTCGCTGTTCTATATAGATTTGAAAGTGGCGTTGGTTTCATGCACCCCGTTACTATCCTGCATGTCTCATTTAGCGCAGTATCAACTTGTTTGGTTTGGGCAGATCTGCTCCAAACGGGGCACGCATATTTAGCAGTTGAGAAACACAGTGCCTGTGCCGTTGTTCTTAAAACGCCAGGACGTGCGCCCCATTTACTTCCCGTGAGCTTTCTGAGTATGCTGTTCCTAGTTGTTACTTTCCCTCTCGTTTTTATGCAAAGTTGTCTGTAGGTGAGGGACCGGTCCAGAGTTACACCAAGATATATAGGTTGGTTTGCGTGTTCTAATGTATTATCATTCCACACAATTTGGAGTTTTCGCTTGACTTCCTTTGTGCGAAGGTGGAAAGCGCAGACTTGGATTTTAGAGGGATTGGGTCACAGAGAATTCTGCAGGTACTACGCTGTCATTGTTTTTAAGCCAGTTTCGAGTTTCTCCTCCACTTCTTCAAAACTATTTCTTTGAGCACATATTGCAAGATCGTCAGCATAGAGGAAGTGCTTGGTTTCGGTCGGAGTTGGTTGGTCGTTTGTGTATGTATAGAAGAGCATTGGTGCTAATAAAACACTTTATTGTGGGAGGCCGTTTTTTATAACTCTCTATCTACTTAATTTACCCTCCAGCATAACGAAAAAAGGTCTATTTTGCAGCAAGGAATAAACGATCTTTCCCAGATGGTGGTCAATGAGAGTGTCGTATAATTTGCGGAGCAATGTTTTGTGCCTTACTGTGTCATAGGCTGCTGTCAGATCTACAAAAGCAGCCCCTGTTATAGGTCTTTCTTCAAAGCTCTCTTCAATGTGATCTGTCAATGCGAGGACCTGACCAGTGCAAGATTTGCCAGGTCTGAATCCTCCTTGTTGTGGGATGAGGTGCTTGTCGACATTTTTTTCTATTCTGGCGAGTATCAAAGTTTATAAAAGCATAATATGATCAATAGTAACAAATGACGTAGAAACATTGATCATGACAAAAAAAAAAACAATAAACTTCAGAGAGAAAAAAGAGAGAGGACAGTCCAGAAGTGGGTTATTCCAGAAATCCGGTTTAGTCCCACAGAAGATGTATTAGATTATTCGCCAGTATTCGAGATCGTATGATTATATATAGCAAAATATCATTATGAAAATTCAGCTACAGGATTACAAACAAAATCAATTATGCAATGTAATAGAAAGCATTTCTGGGCCAGTGTTGTTACCGCACTTATTATAAGTAGTTATGTCGTGGGATGTGCAGGAGTATACAATAATTTAAAAGAAGGTTAATTCCCGTACCATATTAATCTTGGCATACACTTCACATCACTCTATTTAGCCTTTGGAAGGAACACTTTAATAATTGCTACCGTTCCGTCTTTACTAGTCTCTTGTTAAATTCGAAAGTAATTTTGGTTGTCTATCTAAGTCTACAACTAAATTCTCTTTTAAAAAACACCTAGCTGCACTTCTGGTTCTAACAGCTTTTGTACTTGTCTCACATATTGTTAGGTTTTACATAAATTTCCATACCCTACATAAAGATCATAATTACAAATTGTATCACCGAATAGTTTCGATGCCGATTGACAGTAGGTACGACAATACTGACACATGTCAAAATGGCACCCATAGGAGAGCAATTGCACTTTTGAAATCTTTTTTAAAAATTCGATATTCCCTATGGTGTTGAAAACCTAGCCAATTTCTTGCTAGTTCTTGCAAAGTTCTATGCTTATGGATTTCAGATGTTTTCATGTAGTCATTTCAATCATATAGTCGTCAACAATAACACTCCAATCAATTATAGACCACCTAATTTGACTACAACTGTTAATAAAGTAGGGATTGCTTGATGCATAATAATGAAAATTACGCCGATTCACTGTTCCATTTTTTTGAAATGTAGCATCATCTGCAAAAAGCACATAATCGAAAAAAAGTCGCTATGCGCTTGCTGCTGAGACCATTAACAAAAAGCTAATCTTCAATGAAAATCCATCCATCCTATGGCTCTAATGGCAACACCCAAGTTTCATATCCATAGCTCACTATCGCTCGGATTATGGTCTTGTATATTCGTATCTTAGTTCTTTGATCTATGTCTTCTTCTTTCAGTACCCTGTCCGATTATCGAACGTTGGCGACCATATTGGCAACAATTACTTTGTTTACGGCGGCTCTAAATAAATTAGCGGTGGTGGCTTGATACCATTCTCGGAGATTTCGGAGCCAGGATGTTCTTCGTCGGCCTGGGCCTCTCCTTCTGGCGATCTTACTCTGTATTATTACCCTCACTATCGCGCGGATTATGGTCTTGTAGATTCGTATCTTAGTTCTTTGATGTACGTCTAGTGAATCGGGCTCATAGCAAAGTCTGCCGTATTGGCTAGAATGGTCTTATATTATAATCATGACGATGATAATCACCGACTGTCGATTCTAATTAGTTTGACTAATGTTATGTTGACATGAAGATTCCCGAGTGCTGATGTGAGGATCCTCAGTAATAGCTAACAGTACTTCACATTCCTTTTCTTCACCTATAACAGTTTTAGTAACATATTACGCTCTTACGTTTGTCAAAACACTTACTCACGCTTACATCAAAATTTAAAATAGCAAATACCACAAAAGTAAAAAAAACGGCGGGCTATTACCAATATACAAGAAAGGTGACATGATGGAATCTAGCAATTATATTTAAAAAAGGGAAATTGCTTTAAACGACATAGCGTATAAGATGTAGGCGATGTAATTAATATTAAACAAGATTATAACATTTTTCAGACAACGTATTTGGAGATTACCAAGGAGGATTTAGAAAAAACAGCGGAATAACTAATCAGATATTTTCGTTAAAAGAAGTACAAGTTTGTCATTTGTAGAACAAGATGCCAAACGATCTGGTCGACCAACAATAATTAGTGATGACAAAAAATTGACATAATTGCAGAAATCAGTCAAAAGACAGTACACCGAGTGTTGGCTAAAGACAAATTTCATCCAACAAATTAAAAATTGTGCACCAACTTTCAGATGATGACTCCGACAGGAGACTAGAATTCTGTGAAAATATGTCTAATCAAATTAACCAATAGTCAGATTACTAAAAACAATTTGTTTTAAAGACTAAGTACTTTTTCCTTCAATGGAAATGTTAACTCACACATTGTGAGGTATTGTAGTAATAGAAATCTTTACGTCTTTCGTGAAAAACATACTCAATTTCCAAAAAAAGTAGGTATTCGGGAAGGTATTTTGGGAAACCACATAGTTAGACCTGTTTTTACCAGTGATTACTTAATCGGTAAAGTATATCTAAAGACGTTACAAAACGCAATTGAGACGTTAATTTTTGAAATTCTGGAAGGTAATCCAGATGAATTCAGCAAATTGGAAATAACGTTTCAACAGATGGTGCTCCTGCACACTCTTATGGTGCAGTAAGACGTTACCTAGATAAGGAAGACGACGAGGTTCGATATAATGGCCAGCTCGGTCACCGGATCTTACACCATTAGATTTTTTTCTGTGGAGATTCTTAAAACTACAGTATTGATATTTTAAACAACGAATTGTTGAAGAATGTAAAATAATTTCCCCCGACACATTTGAACAAGTACGACAAGAGTGTCGCAATAGAATGCATTATTATCAGGATGTAGATGGGGCACATTTTGAGCACTTAATATAAGAACTGGTTCTTAAATCTTTATTAATTAAATGAGAAAGTACAATTTTAGTATTTATTTATCAAAATCAGCTTAAACCCAAAAAATGATTATGATTGAAT